GTTGGAGATTATAGCTTTCAGGGAAACAGTAATTGGGAAGGGTGTTCCACAGGCGAGAGGTGCGAGGTATGACGCTATTGGAGTAGAAGAGATGGCTACATTTAAAAGTTTCTATAGTGTAAGAGTGGGAGCGGGATGCCAGCCTCGTAGGGCGCTCGAATTCATGGAGTCTGGGAACCAGTGAAAGCAGCTCATCGGAGCAATTACCATGAAAGTATTTGTAGAAAAGACAGAGGCGACGGCGCATCTGTGAGAGAGTGACTGTAGACGAGACGCCAGATCAGGGCCAATTATATTACATATCCGTCTCTGGATCTTGTCAAGAACTCCGAGGTAAACAGAAGGTGCCCCAGACCATATATGGCAGCAATACTCCATGCAAGGGCGAATGGCTGTTTTGTATATTTGAAGTATCGATTCCGGGGAGAAAAATTTCCTCGCGGTGGAAGAAGCAATTGACATGCAGGGACACGTACCCATGTGCGACATGGCACTACAGGATACCCTGATATTATGTGACTGTTGATCAGATTAGCCTCTCTAAGCGCTACCAAATAGTTCGGGCCCCTAACAATCATTCGGATGCAGCAACCAGAAATCTGTCAACTCGGCACCCAAATAATGGAAGTAGTTCGATCCCCAAAAGTAGAGGCAATTAAATCATTTCTGTCCTGGTAGAAGAAAGGCTGAGAACCTGTAAAGCATATTTTTATCAGGGAACAATGGATGAACCTCTAGTCCTATTTAGGATACATGCTAGGAATGCAGGCCGGACAATAAGTGAGCCTATCAAATCCTATTAATCTGTAAAAAAAAAAAATCACGTAAAATACAAAGGGATCCATATTAAGTAATAACTTAATATAATTTCTGATGTTTACTACCAAACAAAAAAGAAACATCGAGATGGTAAAACTTAGTCCACACTTGTTGCGTCATTTTCTCAGCAATGATAAGGAACAGTAGTTAAGCAGATTGAACTTAACCAATTTGTGTGGAGGGCTAAAGAATAAAGTTTGATAATTAATAACAATGGAGAGAACAAAATACACACGACACAATGAAGGAGAGGTGAAAAAATATCACAGACTAAAACAACAAACAACAAAAAAATAAAATAAAATACAATGAATGACACAAGCATTTAAACATCAACAAGATGGCGCAAGGCAATGTAACTTACATTTGTGGGACTCTGCAAATGTTTCATTCTAATCATTAAGTTTGACTTTTTTATGGACAAGGTAAGTGTAGGCGGACCCCAGAAATGTTTATCTTGGATATTACCGTATTTGACGACATATAAGGCGCACTTATTTTTTTATAAAAATATCTTAAAATTACCCCACGTCTTGTATGCCATATGTAAGTTTACTAAATTTACTAATTACCATTGTTTTCTTGATTTGCCCTGCTGAAATTGGGGTGTGTCTTATAAACACTTGCGTCTTATATGCCGTCAAATACGGTAATTTGCATCATCAAATTATGTATCCATAAACGTAGATAATTTTTAATGTGTTTTTGTTGAATGTTTTGTGGGGAGTGTTTGATGGTGGGTAGTGATGAGTGATGAATATTTTTCCTACGTTTGTGTTTACTTTTTGATATACAGAACCATATGATATTCCTTTTCCTGATGGCTCTTTGGAAAGCTGTATGTGAGTGTTGCTGAAAACCTATTATCTATTACGATTGTTTCATAATCTTACTTGGTTTTGTTGAAGTTGGTTTCAATAACAGAGTTTTCTGATAACGACCAAACATACGAATTCCAAATTGGAGATATCAAAATCAAACAGGTAAAAAAATTCACATATCTGGGAAATGTTATAAAAGAGGACAGAAAGTACTCCTCTGAATCCGGAAGGCATATTGGGATAGCAAAAGATGTCTTCCAATAGCCAAGAAACAAACAAAACTCGTTAGAAACAAAGAAAAAAAGTACTAAAATATTACGTGATATCTGTCCTTTTATATGACAGTGAATGCTGGACAATCAACTTTTTTATATCTTAGAGGACGGAAAGTGTGACACTGAGATCTGAAGACGTATTGGGATGGGAAAAAGATGCCTTCCAAAGGCTAAGCAGAGTATTAAGTACAGAATATTTCGTTAGAAACAAAGAAAAAAGTGCTAAAATATTACGTGATATCTGTCCTTCTCTAAGACAATGAATGCTGGACAATCAACTTTTTTATGGAAGTGAATGCTGTACAATCAAAGATGAAGAAGAGACTTGTAGCAACAGGAATGTGGTTCTACCGAAGGAAACTGGGGATATCAGGAACCGAAAATATTACCAACGAGGAATTTTTAGAGAAAACGGAAAAGAAAAAATACTTATCATCAGAAAGAGACCGTTGGGATATCAAAGGTCAAATAATGTGCGTTTAGAAAATATGATACTCACAGGACAGATTGAAGATGACAAAGATAATTTATAACCTATTTAGCGAGTTTGAGTAAATGGATGGCGGAACAAATTTAGGAGACATTTATTGGTTGGTTGGTTCTTTTGTTTTATCACATATCAACCTCAGTGGGTCATTTAATGCCAATAACATTTTTATTACTCGTATTATTCCGTTTTGTCAAAAATCTATGTCTGCTAATATTTTGTCTTTAAAAATGATTTGCTGATAATAATTTTTTTCAAAAATGTATTGCTGGTAATATTCCATTTCAAAAATGTATTGCTGGTAATATTTTTTTAATGTATTGCTATTAATATTTATTTTTTAAAAACATTGTTGGTAATATTTTTTTAAAAAATATATTGCTGGTAATAGTTTTTTTTCTTCAAAAATTTATTACTGGTAATAATTTTTTTACAATGTATTTCTGGTATTAAAATAATTATTATTTTTACACTTTCATAGTGTTTTTACCCCATTTTAGGGGTTAACTATTTGCCCATAGCTGGGACCCTAACAGGTGCTACCACCCGGGTCAAGGTGGACCTCTGAACAACAGTAGTTAAGAGATGGTTCCACGCTCCTCAAAAGCTCCTGATCTGAGGCCTTGCTGTTGGACGTGGTTTATCGTCTTACCCAGGACGCGGATGTAGTTTATCGTCTTACCCTGGACGCGGATGTAGTTTATCGTCATACCCAGGACTGAGGATGTCTTTAAGAAAATGGCAACAGAAAGTGCAATCTCTGTTATCGAACACCTCCAATATTCTACGTTTCGGTTGTCGTTCATCTTTTTTCATCACAAATATGTCTCGGAATATTTTTCATGTCCTCAGTTATCGATCAAAGAAATTCGTCCATTACGAACCTGACCATTCCCCCCTTCGCTCGCTACTGCGTGAATTCCACCAAATCAAATTCCCACACAAAGTATCACGAGTGTGCGTGACTCGGTCTGCCTTTGTCTCTCGCTAAGTGAGTCTCTCCTTTAGCATTAATACGAATATTTTCATTTTAGATAGTCTTTTTGTGTGCTTTTTTTTTATTTAGATTTACTGCTAAATAAGAAAATGGAGGAGTTGGTGGGCGACCACAGGGAAGTGCTGACCATTGAAGAATTCCAAGACCTTCAGGCGGTTCAGCAACAAATGGCAGCTGAGGAAATAGCATCATATGCGGTGAAGGAGGAGAGAGGAGAGAATGTATTTTCTTCCGTCATCAAGAACATTTGTTCAAAATGGAGTGAGGTGCAAAATTTTGTTGAAAAATATCCACTAACAAAGCTGTTGAAAACCGTGTCATAAACATGTTTAATGACACTGCTTTGTCACATTTCATATTATAGATGGTTCTTTCTTTTTAGCACCATATCAAACTCTATGAGTTATTTAATCTCATAATCTAAATATAATAATGGTTTTAGTGATCTAAGTCTTACTAATTAACCCGTAGCGAGGAGGAGATGAGGTAGATTAATACATTTCCCGAGCTTATTTGCGTGTAAGTGAATAGAACCCGAAACCAACTCGAATAGGTAACTCGGCTCTTCGATTAACAATTTCGAGCCATTATTCATTACACCAGACGCACAACGAAACTTACAGAACCTGGTATTGCCAACCGGTCACCCATTTCGGTACTGAACAGGTTCGACGTTGCTTAACTTCAGTGATTTTATGGCAACCGATGTTTCAGAATTCCAGTTTACCCTTCGAAAACATATGAATCCATCTCTATCCCCCTAACATCCACAGCTTTGTGTAAATAGCAAAACAGACTGGGTCTTATAGCCTTGGTTGGCAATCGGTCTTAGAGAACAACAAATTTTAATTAAAAAAAGATTGGGGGTTAAATAGCCTCACCAACTTGCCAAGTGTGGTTTAAACGGTTATACACATAAATGCATATATAATATTATTATTATCATTATATATATATATATATATATATATATATATATATATATATATATATATATATATAATCATTATTTTTTTTTCTTTCCTTTGTTTTCTGACGTTTACATATTTCTTTCCGGGTCCCTCCCAGGGGCCTAAGGTTAGAAATGGCATCATGACACTTTCCACTGACAAAAAAAAAAATTACATAGATAAAGCCCTTCGTAAAGTGTGGGCTGTACTTGTCAGAACAATTTTTTGTATCTCCTTGAGGCATGGACTTCCAGGAATCCCTTCAATTAGTCTACTGCAATCTTTTCCAACCAATCCTAGGGCTCCAACTACAACAGGGATTGTTGATGTTCCCATGTGCCACATTTTTGAGATTTCTATTTCAAGGTCCTTGTATTTTTGACAGCTTTTTGAATATCTTCAAAGTTACATTGCAGTCAGCATGGACTGCCATATCAATAAGGAGGCACCGTTTTTGTTTGTGGTCTTTAATAACAATATCTGGGCGATTGGCTTTGATTGTCAGTGTGTATTATTATTATTATTATTATTATTGTTGTTATTACTATTATTATTATTATTATTAAGCAGAAATGAATACAACGAGATCAACTTGGCTCTTGGATTAAAAATTCCGAGCCATTATTCATTACACCCGACGCACATCCAAACATCCAGCACCTGCTATTCCCAAGCGGTCACCTTGATACTGACCAGGTTCGACGTTGCTTAACTTCGGTTATCGTATGGGAAGTGGTGTTTCTACCTGGTGTGGCCGTAAAGTTGTTACGTTTCGGGCAAATTTTAAAGCAGGGACGGAGAAGGGAAATAAACCGAGAAAAAGACTTATCTGAAGTCTTTATGGAGATGCATTCCCCTTCCAAACAATACCACCTCTCCCTTCTCCACGTTTTATATATTAGGTTGGTGTAAAAATAATGACGTAATAATGTCGTTTTTTGACGTATCTTTTAACGTCAAAAAACGACATTCTTACGTCATTATTTTTGCACCAACCTAATACATCAGTAAGTGTCTTCTATAAAGATAAAGTGATGTTAAATGTGCATTTATTCTATATATTTGTTATATTTATTTCTTATTGTTATTTCGGATAAAATGTGTTCTCTACTAATATTCTGAGATGTTTAGAACGGATTAATTGGATTTGCATTATTTCTTATGGGAATATTACCTCAGTTTTCGTGTATTTTTGTTAATAACTTTGGATGTGTGGAGTAGGCTAATTGGATTTACATTATTACTTATGGTAATGTTACCTCAGTTTTGTGTTTTTCTGTTTTCGGACGACTTTCATGAACGGATTATGGCCGATAATCGAGTTTCCTCTGTACTGAGAATCAAGGAAATTCCTGGGACTTGAACAACTGAACCTTGCACGGGACCTGCTGAGTACAAAAGAGATAAGCGGTAGTGGGTCACTTGCCTGACGTGCTTGAGTGAATGGATGGCGGAACGAGGAGGAGAGTTCGGAAAGGTAGAAAGGCTGCTAAGGGCCACAAGGAAGAGGAAATTGTGGAGTGCCATGATCACCTATATGCTGAAAGGACAACAAGAAGAATATTCTAAGCTTTCTCTCGTTGAATACTGATTTACTACAACTTTTTCCCAATATGGTTTATTCTTAAAAATATCGCTTTATTGTGAGGCGCAAAATACAGCTACAAGTCAAGTTCTGATCCAGCCAGATTTTCTCCTCATCTTAACGTATATTTAACATTAGAAAAAGGTAGCAAAGCAAAGTATTAAGAAAGAGAAAGTTTTTGTTAGAAGAAAAAAAGACTACTGAACTGTTATGCAATAACAGCGTTCCTATACGTCAGTGAATATTGGACAGTCTCTTCACAGATGAAGAAGAGACGTGAAACGAAGAGAAATATGATTATTCAAAAGGATGCTGAGAAAGCCATTGGCTGAATATTTGAGATGTTTTAGTCAATTAGACACTTATGACAACATATATTGAGGAGAGAACAATGTCGGGACACTTGAATGCAAGAAGTGGAGAATAACGTCTAAGAAAGAAGAGAAGAAATTTCTGTAAATGGTTGGTACGACAGGGATTGAGGAGAGATAAAAAGGCTAAGAATTTAAAGGAGAATTTGACACTGCCCACGTCCTGAAGGGACATATTGTAAATGCAAGAAGATTAGGAGAAAACAAGAATTATAAAGGGAAACTATAGAGAATCATTGCCCACGTCCTGAAGGGACAAAAAGAAGAAGAAGAAGAAGGGGGGGATGAGCTTGTGTAAATGGTTGGTACGACAGGGATTAGGAGAGATAAAGGCCAGGAAAAGATAGAGAAATATGCCCACGTCCTGAAGGGACAAAAGAAGAAGAAGAAGAAGAAAGAAAGAAAGAAAGAAAGAAAGAAAGAAAGAAAGAAAGAAAGAAAGAAAGAAAGGAGGAAATTATAAAGGGCCAGAGATAAAATATACTAAGAATTATAAAGGCCAGGAAACTATAGAGAACCACCATTGCCCACGTCCTGAAGGGACAAAAAAGAAGAAGAAGAAGAAGAAGAAGAAGAAGAAAAAGAAAGAAAGGAGGAACTTGTGTAAAAGGTTGGCTGAACAGTGTTTTGGAGGCATAGTGACAAGACAATATTTACTCAGAGCTGCAAAGGACATGAAATTGCGGATAGCCAAGATCGCTCACGTCCTGAAGGGACACGGTTCATCGAAGAAGAAGAACAAGAACAAGAAGAACAAGAACAAGAGCAAGAAATCTTTAATTTGTCTTGGTAGAGTTGTTTGTGAATGTAAGCGTGAATACAAATGAAAAACAGCATGAGAAGAAATCAAATCCTTCGTACGATATCTTTCGTCGCCTGGTTGAACAGGACGGGCGTCCCTGCAAGAAACTGGTTGGTGGTCTTTGAGTTTGCAACAACAACAAGAAGAAAATTTATAATAATTGCTTGATTGGCAATAATGAACAGCGCCTATATTATACACGTTACCGTGTAATTATTAAGCTGAAAAAAATCTTTTTCACTAACATGCAGTAACAACTTTTGCGTTGTTAAGCATAATAAATTAATTACAACGCCAAAAAGTCTCTTGTCAACTGTAAGTAATGTAATAATTCGAAAGAGGAGAACCGTCGATGGGAGGAGGTCATTGATAAGGCGTCAGTTTTAAACAGCAAATCAGTTCATTTTTAACTATCGATCAACACCTGTTTATTATCTCACGTTAGTTATTTACGCCCGCTTGCTTTCAGATTTCAGGACAATATTATTCACTCTCCTCCCGTATCATAATATATGAATAGGTGGTACTTTTAATGACCAGCTAACAATGTAAGTTGATAATCACGAAGTAATCAAATATTAATTCCATCCTGAATTTGAATGAAACAGCCGATATTATTAATAAAAAAATTTATTTAAAATTGCAGAAAAAAATAAATATATGACATTTCTTTGTTTAGTGGCATATCAACTCCTTATGGGTCATTTAACGCCGAAATTTAATTTTCTTCGGAGAATTTGTAATTCCATTCACATACACACACACACACACATATCTATTAAACTGTACAATAATCTTGGAATGTTACAGCTGAAACTTATGATTTATGAACAGGTTTGTTTCCTGTAAGTGACCACTTCATTTTGACGAACCAGAAATTACCAATGGCGTGTTGGTGAGCTTACATATTTTAATGTCAAAGTATTGGGAATATGTTTACTTTTCTTGGATAATCCCAGCTTCATACTTAAAGGAATGTTTACAGTTTATTTCTTTTTTAATTATTCCCCCTCTAATCAAGGCAGGAATGCAGCTAGCGTGAAAGTAGGTTACGGGGAGTGAAAGTGAGAGAAAAGAATGAGTATAGGGAGGTTTGAGGAAAGGACAAGAAGACAGAAGATAGCCATGAAAATATTTGTAGAAAACTCAAAGGAATGCAAAGGTGAGAAAATGACTGAAATCGAGATGCCAGGTCAGGATCTATTATATTACAGATCCTTCTTTGGATTTTGTATTCAATACACGGACGAATAGATAGTGCTTTGATGACAAGATCATCTACAATAAATTTGCTCTCAGGCTCTTACAACATCTCACGATTCCTGGCAGATCTTCTATTATTACAGTGTGGAATATCTAAGAACAAAACTGGTGGGAAAAAAATGAAAAAGAATTTAAATGAAGTCGGCTATTTGCCATGAAAATATTTGTAGAAAAGAAAGAGGGAAGACACGTCACGTCGGTGAGAAAGTCACTAAAGTCGAGATGCCAGGTCAGAATCGATTACATTGCAGATTCTTTTTTGGATTTTGTCAAGAATCTCGAGATGAATAGCAGGAGCAACAGACCAGATATGGCAACAGTATTCAATGCATAGACGAATGGTAGATTTGTAGCCTTCTGCTTTTTACTGACATAGATTAGCCAATTTTATTTCAGACAATGAGAAAATACGTCCAAGCAAGATAAAAATCGGGGTTCAGTGACATAGTGAGGTAAATCAAATACCTTAGTTCCATTATCTTCGAATAGGGCTCTTCATTTTCTAGAGCAATACAATGCGAATCAATAAAAACTCTTGAAAGACCAGAACATCTGCCAGAAATCAATGATTCGCCTGATGTGTTCATTGCTATTTTTTGTACGATTGCGAAGCTTGGATATTAACAGTAGAATTTCGTTTTTGATCTTTCACCCAAAGCAAGGTGGAAAGGCCACGAGTGTGGGGGGGGGGCTTACAGGGAGTGAAATTGAATGCAAAAACTGAGTATAGGTAGGAGTGAGGAAAGGATAAAAGATGAAGACAGCAAATGATTGTAGTTATCAGAGAAGCAAGTAAACAGAAGGGAGTTCCACAGGAGGGAGATGCGAGAAAGGAAACTGTTGGTGTAGAGGTGGGGGTTTAACTATTTCAAGAGTAAACGGGTGGGACCTAGATGCCAATCGAGTAGCACGCTTAAATTCATGTAGTCGGGGCGCTAGGGAGAAAAAACTCTTTACAGCAGAGGCCATGGAAATATTTGTAGAAAAGACAGAGGGAAGCCACGTCACGTCAGTGAGAAAGTGATTGAAGTCGAGATGCCAAGTCAGGATCAGTTACATTACAGATCCTTCCTTGGGTTTTGTCAAGAATCTCGAGATGAATAGCAGGAGCACCTGGCCAGATAAATTTCAAGTTTTACTTGCAAACTTTTATAAATTAGAACCAAATATGGATTGAAATACGAAAGAATAATAGGATAAATAAAAAACATTTACAAATCTAACATGTTTCGCCTTTATTATAGCTTCACCAGAGAATGATATAGAGAAAAAAGATATTTTAATAGACAATTGTATCAATCCCTTTTAATATAATGCTGACTGAATCAAGTCCAGCTTCTGAGCAGTAAACGCTAGTAATGATAGGGGCATGCAGGTAGCTTAACGGTTATTGGTGCAGAAAGAAGAATCAGCAATCAAGGTTCCAATTCCAGCCTTATCTGTTACGTTAACTTCGTATAAATTCCATTAGTAAAGGATTTAAACAATTTCTTCTACCCTCAAATGTCGGTTCCATAGCAAAGTAAACTCGAATCTCTAGCCCTGGGTGACAAGCTGTATAAGAGAATGAAAACTTCGATTCAAAACCATAGAGAAAGCTACAGGAAGTCACTTTACTGACATTCTCAAGAAGAAAGGGCAATTCACAGATAATAAATAACAGGCCGTAAGAGCCACGTTCGCCAATGTCCTGAATAGATATGATATTAAATAAACAATTTCTAAGCTGACATTTGATGTGAACTTATAATTGATGATTATTTACTGGGAAAGTGCGTAATTTCTAAAAAAAAAAAAAAAAAACATATCTGTTCTTTTTATCGGCTTTTTGAGACCTATACAAACGAGAAATGATAAACACAAAGGCCACCTTCATAGAAACAACAAACCTACGAATATCAACAACAACCATCAGTTCTTGCACAACGATGACCAAGAACTGCATATATGCATTACCAAGCAGTTGCAGCAAATCGTAGAAATGTAAAATTCGGCGTTATCATACCGAGAAAGTTTAAAATCGGCTATAAGGGAACTTGCATGGAGACACCAATCGTTAATAGGAGGGAACAGACATTGGCGTTGATATTTCATGGATATAGCTGTAGATTTTTGTCCCACCGGCATTCGCGAACTGAGCAGTTCGGAAGAAGACACCAGAAATAAATTTGACGTTTATGACGGGTGGAACATGCTTCCCCCATAATAAGCTTCAACGTCCGAGGCACTTGAGGATGGCTGTTAGCTTCGCGCCGAAAATGTTTTGCAAATATAAAGATAAGTAAAACAGTGTTTACTGTGTTTCTGTAAATGTGTCCCTGTAACTGTAGTTGGCATAAGTTAGCGAGACAAAATATCAAAAGAAAAAGAATTGCAATACGGCAGGATTAAAAAAAATCTTCGAAAATCAACATTTGAAATCATAGCTTTTTTTGGTCTGGCCTTCAAATTTGACATCTTGCACAACTGGAAAAATATCATCATCATCATTATCATCGTGCTTGTTATCATAATCAGTTCCATTACTGGATCTGGTCGTGGTGTAACATTGTTGCTGAGCTCCAAACCAGCTTCCTATATAAGGTCTTGGTTGCATAACAATGAATGTGCCGATGTTAATGATCTCTTAGCTGTCCGCTACCACTTTTTCACAAATGTCGATTTTCGTGCAAAAAAGCTGATCACATCTTCATAAATGTTTCTGAAAACCTGAACTTCTCATTGGATAATAAATATTAAAATTATCTCGTATATCTTCACGTGTATTGTTCTCAATAAGCAACACAAAACATCAGGCTCCAGACTGAGTTTTGTAAGGCGCTTTCTGAGTGGTTAACAGATGTTAAAAAAACAATTTACCTGCTCACCACTACGTCCGAACAACGTCAACCTAGTTTTTGACCTGACGAAAAAACAATGCCTTCGGAGCCAGTCACGTGGTTAAAAAAAACATATAAATTGAAGGTACGATCGAACCCAGTCAGTGAGAATTTACGACGACCAAATTTGCTAAACGACTTCACGACGCTTGAATCCTTACTGCAGCGAAGTACAAAGTTGGAACCTAAAGTTCTTTAACATGAAATAACTTCACTGAAAATCAGACTACAATTTCAACGAAAGATCTCACTCACCAACTTCTAAAATTTTGTAAAACTTATTCAATTACGTTATTGAATCAGACGAAACTTTAAGTACAAACAATTACGAACAATACATTTAAAACTACGAGCAACGAAAACAAACGGAACATTCACTTCTCCAACTTCTTTAAAGCTAAAAGTTTATCAACATATTTTCAGCTTTATAAGATTCACTTTCAGTGAACATTTTGAACTACAAGTTAATTCAGTTTTTGTGAGCTAAGATAAAAAAATGTTTTTTATTAGTAAAAACATTAGCCCAGTCAAAGGAAAGT